ATTTTACATCAGAAATGTCATGGGGCCCATTTTGAAACTGAAGAATTTTGTTGAATCCGCTAACCTCAGGTGCTGATTTGGATTCAAAGTCTGTTTTCTATTTAGGTAATCGATTTATGTTAATGAAGCGAAAGAGGTATGTAAGCATCGTAGTAATTGCCGTTCCTTAGTCTCTGCCTACCCCCATGGGAGACAGGCGTGAAGTTATGTATATATGTATGTATGTAATCGATTTATTGTGGTAGGCTACGGATTATCTAACATCACACTTTATGAGTAGAGGAACAATGAAAATTGACACTAAAAAGATAATCGAAATTGAATTGAATCCAAATCAACCTAAGCAAAGTCACGGGTAACAGCAAGTAATAAACGCAGAAGTTTCCCGACCTAGGAGAACAATTGCTTTTATGACTCCAAAAGCAAAGTAACTCAAAACATTTGAAGAACAGTTATGATCTGAACTGTTAAACATCAAACGCACTCAGGCACTTCAATCAAAATCATCACTCGTAATCTGCCATCGAGCTATCAGTATCAATATAAGAACATGCAAAAAGTCAACGAAAACAAATGTACAAGATGAAATCAAATGTTTAATTCTATGCCAACCAATCTGCTACATCTCATGATTTCGAAGCCAGACCAAAATAAACGGTACAGACAGACAGGCGTACAGACATACCCCAGTTATATTTACACTTAGCGCAATCGCTCAAAGTGAATGGTATTCAATTAATAGTATTCAGTAGAAGTGTAGTTTTCCGTTCGTTTGGGAGGAAACAGTAGGGGAATTATAAGAGATGATATTTACAAAGATTGTGATTGTAACACGGATCTGGGTTCATATGAATGATATTATGCAAGGTATCGAAGTAAGGTTTTCATAATAACTATCGTGAGACATACTAAATTAACTGAAAACCGCGGATTTCTCACGTGAATATGCTGAGATAAGCTCTTCTAGTTTCGAGCCACAGAGGGGCTCTTCCTCATGAGCAGCGTGCGCGGTCGCTGCGATGTCGCGCAGGTTTTCATTATTTAATATTCTGTTTCTTTTTCTATGGTCTTGTCTAAACCCACTCAGGGTTTGTCAAAAAGGGATATTAATAAAGTGGAAGAAGTTGCCATATCGTACACAATATTACGTCTCCTTCAAATTCATTATCATCGTCACCAACACAGTGGTGGTTTACTGCTGTAGACTATACTGTCATCAACTCTCCATGAGAGTCCACTACAGGAACATTGGTCTCAAGTTTGGTAGTGGCGTCAAGATTCCAATTTAAAAGGTTCAGGTGCTCAGAAAGTGCTGTTGCCCGGTTCTTATTAAACGTATAGTCTCCTAGTAAGCTCTTACTTTCATTATCTACACACCATTTCATTTGGCGCCGGTGCTCACCGTTAAATGTCCAAACAAATCCTCCGTCCCATTTCATAGCATACTAATGACTGTTCATACAAAATGTGACGTCTATTTTCATCGTCAAATAAATGTCAGTGTAACATATTTTGTGTACAACGCCATCTAGCGCTTAGGAATTGGACCCCGGTTGAAAGGTCATTTCATTATTTATATTCTGTGTTTGAATTTCTATGCTTCACTTGTTTCTTTTAGACACATTTAGCGCAATTAAGCAATTTCCTAGATGATGATAGACATTGTCCACGTTGCGTCATTAGACAAAATGCATACATCTTTAACAGACAACAATCGGCTTACAAATGATAAATAATTGTATCTTGCTTAAAAACTGTAAAGCAGCCAGTGTTATATTTTATTAATTCAATAGTACACATGCTGCTTCAGTAGCGATCACTGATCAAACCATGAGCCTTGTTGCTACCGATCTACTGATCCTTACTAATATTATAAATCGGAAAGTGAGTTTGTTTATTTGTTCCGACTTCACGCCGTAACTACTAAACCGATTGCATTGAATTTTTGCAGACGTAAAGTTGCAGTCTGGATTAAATAATAGGGTACTTTTTATCCCGAAAAAATTTGATATTCCCGAAGGAAAACAAAATAATTGGTATAGATGGCGCTGTATGTATTGGTATATGTCACATAGGCTACTTTTTATCCTTTTGTGACGCGAGCGAAGCCGCGGGCAGAAGCTAGTAATAGTATAAAATAAAACATTTAAGACATCCATTGTAATCGAGCAAGGTTAAACTGCAGCACATGTAGTTTATGAAAAAAACTCAAAACAAAAGTATGTTATGAATAGCATACACCGTGTTATGTTTTACAGCTGTGCCAGTGTACGCTCTCATAATATTTTCATTGCTACACAAGTACTGTAAAATAATTTTAAATATATTATTGAAATAACTACGGAGACTACGTCGTGGTGGCCTAGAGGTCAAGACGCCCGAGTCTCATGCATGAGGGTTTGAAGTGTTCGAAATCTACCAACGGCAAGTACCAATGAGATTTTTTCCGAGATATATGTACTTTCTAAGATTATTTAGACACCACTGACAACGGTGAAGGAAAACATCGTGAGGAAACCTTAAGTTACAATTTTTAAATGTGATTTTGAAATTGCCAACCCGCATTGAGCAAGCGTGGTGATTAATGTTTAAACCTTCTCCGTGTGAGAAGAGGCTTTGCTCAGCAGTGGGCATTTATAGGCTGTTGTGCATTTCACTTAAATCTACCCTACTTTGTTACAAAAACAAATGCTTGTATTAAAATCACACTTACGCGTGTTGTCTTAGAGTGTAATTTGCCGTGTTGAGATGTATATCAGGCCGCTAGTCGCTAATGAAGGGAGAGATCAGGAATAAATCACTTCTGCCTACGCCCGTAACGCGTACCTTGATGGGGATGAATGGCATTGGAGCCTATAGATGAGTATAGATAGGGACCTGAGTATTCGAGATCGTGACGTCATAAACAACTTGTATTTTTTGGCCTGCCTTGTAGCCATGTTTTTACTCTGAAATGACGAATTATTCAAACCGATAACTACTAACCGATTAATACCGATTTATCAATCATCAAATAATTAACTAAAATCACGGGTTATTTACGTGAAAGTACCGAGAAAAGCTCTACTAGTTTCGAACCACAGAGGGGTTCTTCCTCATGAGCAGCGTGCTTCCTCAATAACAAGTTTTTAGTTAATTTAGTATGTCTCAGAATAAAACTGACATTTGACTTATGGAAAAATGACTGCACGGTTGTTGCAGTAGCTGAGAAAGTGGATGCCGCGCAACGCGTCGCGGGTTCGATTTCCGCACGGAACAACTCTTTGTCTGTTCGTTGTTTCGGGTCTGGGTGTCATGTGTATGTGAACTTGTATGTTTGTAAACGCACCCACGACACAGGAGAAAATCGTAGGGAGAGGCAAAGTTTTAAAAAAATAAAAAAAATCTCAAATATTCAAAGTTATTCCTCAGTTAAAATTTATCTAGCGTTGGAAAAATCAGCCATTACTGCGATACACATAGACATTGAATGATTACTTAACTCGTCGAGTACCGGTTTTATAGACACAATTAAAGAACAATAGGTCGCGGTCACCGGTGACCGCTCGGTGTTTGACAGATTAAACTAAGCCTTAGTAACGATTTTGTTCCGACAAATAATAATTGCTAAGGACTGGGTTAAGTAGCCATTAAATGACTCTGAGTACGGCGGTTAGAAGAATTTAACCTCTCAATCATATAGAAGACTAGGTCTCTATCAGATTTCATCAAAATTATTTGCAAACAGTGTCAAAAAGATATCCAATCTCAAATCGGTTAAAAAACAAAAAAAAGCGTCAGCAACAAACAGAAAATCAAATAAAACAAGAATGTCCTGTGACCCTACAATATTCAGATATTACATCGTTGTCAAAGAGAACGACTTTGACCCTTTTTCTTGGAAACAATACTTTTTTGAACCCAAACAGATTTGAATTTAAGTCTCATACGAGTTGCAATGTTGGGACATTTTGTTACAGAGGTCTTTCTGTCTTTGATTTTGATACGATTTAGGGTAAAATATACATAAATAAAATTATATTACTAAATGAAAATGTACACAACTTAAATATAAATAACCATGAACTAAATTATTTGCACTTTAAAAAAATAATAATAAAAATGCTATCATAAGACATCAAAAAAAAAATTTTTCCTCATCGCTACGTGAGGTAGGGTGCCCAAAAGACTGGCAGCATTGCCACGTTGAATGACAACCTTCAATGAAAACTATTGTCCAAGGTAGATTAACTTAACTTTTGATACGATTGTACTGCTTCCATTTTTCTTTATCGTGTGAAAGTAACGTCGGCAGGACTCATAACATAAATGGTACAAATTGTTTATTAACATTTCACGTATGCAGTTAGGTCTACTTCTTCGGGATGTTATTGTTGTACTGTATGTCTATGGGTACAGAGCAAGGAGTGCGACTTTCTGAGATAGGCACAGAAATCTTGAGATTTTCAAAGAAACATAGTCAAAGTCAAAGTCAAAATCATTTATTTCAATTAGACCAGAAAGGCACTTTTGAATGTCAACAATAAAATTAAAAGTGAAACTATTTGCTCATTCCAAGGTGTAGATTCCTATGGAGAAGAACGAGCAGGAAACTCCATAGGTTACTCTTTTTCAATCAGGTTCACAATACAATTCTCTAGTTACATAGTTTGCTGTTTGGATTGTGCGAGAACAATGTAACACTAAAATCTAGTCAAAGTGATCGAAAAAGAAAATAACCTTAAAGACAATAAATAATACAGTCTGGAGCTGACCAGTCCCAGTTGACGGCGCCCGTTCACGAACATGACACGTACACCAGCACCGCCCAACTCAACCATAATTTTTAATAACAGCAAACCTGGTATTACGTCCAGTTTATTGCAATAGGCCCACCCTATTAATGTACGTTACCTCTAATCGTAAGTGTCGCAAGCACGTTGCAAGTTACGTTGTGTATAATGAGAATAGAAGTCATGTTGCTATTAAATATGTCTGACCAAATTGTCATTTTGTTCCAGGTGCTTTCATCGGCGGTATCATGGGTGGGTTTGCGATGCGTCTGGGCCGTCGCACCGTGCTCATAGCTACCGCCTTACCTTACACCCTGGCGTGGCTCGCCACTGCATTGTCAACCAGTGTGCACATGATATCCGCAGCCTCATTCTGCGGGGGAATGCTCATCTGCTGTATTAATATGACTACACAAGTAAGTAGTGTGTTTCTATTGAAATTTTATTCCATTAGTGGGATTCTTGATCGTGGATGCGTTTTAAAACACAGTGCATCGAAAATGACTATAAATTCTTTGTTTTCTGATTTGATCGTTAAATAGGGGTGTTTAAAATTTACAGTTGTGTGTGTACAATAGGGTAGACGACTAATTTTTATTTTAATGTCCGTCTGATAGATTATTTAAAAACATTAGACACGTATTTTTTATTTTCTCACAGAAACTAATAGTTTCGAAGATATATTGATTTGAAATGTCGCGTGACGTCACTTCTCAGTAAATTTTATATTAAGGAATGACGTTTTAGCCCCCACTCCTAAACTTTGATTCGTTTTATCTAAGTATTGTTTTATTATACGACAAAATAAAAAAATACGTGTCTAATATTTTTTCATTACCTAACTTACGGACTAATTATATTTTTAATTTTCATACCCTGTCATCATCCCCATTATATAACCATTACAACAACGTTGACAGAGGTTTGTGTATTGGCTGATCAATCAGCTGCCTACGCAACGCGTCGTAGATTCAATTTTCGCACGTAACAAGTTTATAAGTAATCTGTAAGTTGTTATGTCGGGTTTAAATATGACGTGTATATGAATTTCTATGTTTATAAATGCACCCACGACACAGAGGAAAGTCCTAATGTGAGGCAACGGTCTAAAAAGTCACGCAACCCATTCCAAAAACCAAAAGAAAACTTAACAACTCTTTATGCACCTAATCAGACTGTAAAGCTACTATCATTCATCTCAATAGTCCACTCCCATAACATCAAACCATAATACTATAAAGTTAGGAAACATAAACCAATTTAATAGGCCTCTCTATTACGAAACCAACATTTAGAACCTGCACCTAAACGGAGAAAGTTAAGGGTCCCCTTATATGGTCAAATGGGGACCTCTATAAAGTACTACAAGCCGTATATAGAACGTATGTTACTATTAACGTAACGTACCTAACGTAACCTTACGTACGAACGTAAGCTGACAGAGCAGAACAAGCCAGGTTATGATAATTAAAAATCTAATTAGTCCGTAAGTTATGTATTGTATAATGAAAAAATATTAGACACGCATTTTTCTATTTGCTCGTATAAAGGTTCAATTTCTTAGATTAAATGTCGTTAAGTTTAGGAGTTGGAAGTCGTTACGTCACAAGTGCGACAAAATGTAGTACCGTTGCGGGGTCACACGATACTTCAAATTAATATTTATTTCAACTAAAATCGCGGGTTACTCACTGAATGAATATACTGAGAAAACCACTACTAGTTTCGAACCACAAAGGGGTTCTTCCTCTTTCTTCCGCCGTAGTTAATTTAGTATGTCTCACGATAGTTATTATAACATAAAAAATTACGTTAAAAGTGTTAAATTTTGTGAGAAAAGAAAAATACGTGTCTAATAAAATAAAATTTAGGAAACTATCTACCCTATTAAGTCACCATCTATACCTTTAACAGTGACGTAAAGTCCTATGTCCACTAAATTGGACCTTATCCTGGGTGGGCGTCCATAGAGGTCCAATAAGATAGGTCGGGGTTATCTCGGTTTCGGTTTCTGGAATCTAACTTAAGGGCGATATTCATTTCATCATTCATCAACAGCCTATAAATGCCCACTGCTGAGCAAAGCCTCTTCTCACAAGGAGAAGGTTAGAGCATTAATCACCACGCTTGCTCAATGCGGGTTGGCGATTTCAAACTTATAATTAGAAATTATAAGTCCAGGTTTCCTCACGATGTTTTTCCTTCACCGTTTGTCAGTGGTGTCTAAATAATCTTAGAAAGTACATATAACTCGGAAAAGTCACATTGGTACTTGCCGTTGGTAGGTTTCGAACCCGCTCCCTCATGCATGAGAAGTGGGCGTCTTAAACCTCCAGGCCACCACGACTAAGGGCAACAGTACACGCTAAACCCGACACTTTCAAACAGCAGTCTTCCGCTACGCGTGAAGATTTTGAGGTCAATTTTTTAAAAGTGAACGAAAATATCTATGTAATTCTGCGAAGTTATTAATGTTTTTTCAATAACCTTGTATAAAGGGCCATACGTCTGACCTCACTAAACCTACCCATGTTAACAATAGATACACAAGTTGTTAAAACTTTACGATCACTTTTAATTACTATACGTTCTTTGAAAGAGTACTATGACCAGCTATAAATATTGCATCACACATGTCATAGTTTGCGTAATAATACTAAGAATTGCCATAAAATATAAGAAATCAACATTATAAAATAAAATAATGTTAGAGGAAAAAATATGCGTTGGCCGGGAATCGAACCCGGATCAACTGCTTGGAAGGCAACTATGCTGACCATTACACCACCAACGCATATGTCAATATACTCCAATACAATGATGATATTTTATTAAGTACTAGCTTCTGCCCGCGACTTCGTACGCGCAATCCCATTTTCCCCCGTTCCCGTTCGTGATTTTCGGTAAAAAGTAAAAAAAGTATTGTTTAAAAAGTATCCTATGTCGGTCTTCTGGCTCTAAGCTACCTCCATACCAATTTTCAGCCAAATCTATTCTGCCGTTCTTGAGTTATAAGTGGTGTAACTAACACGACTTTCTTTTATATATATAGATTTTAAAAAATAAATATATTCTACCTATACTAGCCTCTCGCCTATGGCGTTGCCCGCGAGGAATTTAGGACATTTCTTTCAAGTAATTTAGCCTATAGTACTCCCTACAAAATCTGTTTTTCATTGGTTAAGGAATTTCTCAAATCAATCCTGTAATTTTGTAGTCAAATTAGAGCATACAAATAAAGAATCAAATCTATACTTTTATTAAAGACTAGTTTTTGCAAGCGGTTTCGTTGGCGTTCCTGTCATAAAAATACTGACCGAATTGAGAACCTGCTCCGTTTTGAGAACTCAATTCAAAATACCTAGATAAAAATTAGATATCTAACTTTATTGTTTTTAAACTTAAGTCGAAAGTCTATAAGATTAAATTCACTGGCTGGCGACTGTACAATTTGCAATGCGTCGCTTGCTCTATACCAGCGAGTGAGTTGCGCAGTTTTCAGAATCGTGCAATCTTTGACAGATGTCACTTATGTCACACGTCACTGCATGACCATTGTGAGTGACGCCATAGAGTTGGTAATTTAGTTAGATGTGGTATTATTTACACGCGGGGGAATTAAATTAAAACATTATCTTTTGGTCACCGACGGAGCTAGTAGATACGCATACCGTATACGATATCACCTCCACTTTTTACCAGTTAATATAAAGTGTACCATGACCAGTATTTGGGTAAATCTGAAACGCCTTGATTGGCATTCAGATTTGTGGCAACTTGACCAACAATGAATGCTTTAGCATTGGATTATTTACTGTCGTTGTCTGCCGGATTAGGAGTTGCTGGGTTAACTTTAAAGTTTTTTTTTAATTCTTTGCGATACCACGGATTCTAGAATCATTGTGTACCTACTTTAATAGGCTCGCCCCCTATGTATGTATAATTCTATAGGTCTTTAATAGATTAGCCAAAAGCGTCTTAACACACTTAAGATCAAACAGCAAAGTGCTTATTGCAATTAATTATTTATGAGTAAATAATATCGTAACCCTACTTAAGGTAAATGAAGGTTATCAAACATTCGTAGTCAGTTAACCTTAATCCGAATAAACCCTAAATTCCACACAAATCATTTTATAATCTGCACACTGCATGTTTAGGAAATTAATCAGGTTTAAGACATTCATTTGGAAACAGTTGCCGGCAAATCTCGTCACTATTCGCTATTATATGTAGATATATGCATGAAAACAAAATTTAGTCAACATCATCATTATCATTAGTAGGAGTATTTGCCTTTTCGCTTTGTCCTCGGATCAATTTCTAAACTTTGAAATTATAATCATTTGCTCAGCAATAGATGAAACATTTCGTAGTGGCCCGGAGGTTTAAGACGGGCCCGCTTCCCATATATGAGGGTGCGGGTTCGAAACCTACCAACGGCAAGTACCAATGTGACTTTTTCCGAGTTATATGTACTTTCTAAGATTATCTAGACATCACTGACAAACGATGAAGGAAAACATCGTGAGGAAACCTGGGCTTATAATTTCTAATTATAAGTTTGTAATCGCCAACACGGATTGAGCAAGCGTGGTGACTAATGCTCAAACCTTCTCCGTGTGAGAAGAGGCTTTGCTCAGCAGTGGGCATTTATAGGCTGTTGATGATGATGATGATGATGATGATGATGATGAGGTGAAACAGACAATAAGGGTTTGTATTGGGTTCTTACCACAACTCAGATACGGCCATGCGTAAACAGCTGTACATCTAATGCTATCTCCAATTCAATCCATTGACTGTTTCTAGTGAATCATTTGCTTTAAAATACCCAATAAGGCCTGATACTAAAAGTTTACTATCTTTCTAGTTGTCACTCGCTGGTTAGAATTTTTGGATTCCCAAGTCCCACACACTACCTAATATAAGAATTTCCCATTTTTGGATATTTCCAATCTAGTATTATAGTGTGGAAACACAATTCGATTACAGGAAAGTTGTATCTATATTTGTAGGTATGCTATTTTAATGTATCCCTAAACAATATGATTGATACAAAAATTGGATTAAATTAAATTGAATCCCAATGAAAATAAACTGTACATTTATATATTAAAAGCCATATTATTATTATAATTTTCTCTTGACCCAATTCTTTGGGGCCAACAAAATATGTTTGCTGTTCTATCTATCTGCCTCGTTAGCCAAATGATCGCAAGTGCGACTACCGGGCAAGGGGTCTCGGGTTCGATTCCCGGGTCGGGAAAAGTATTACTGGGTTTTAAAAAAATCTCAGTAGTAGTACAGAGTCTGGAATTGTGCCCGGTATATGGCAATGGCTCACCGCCTATTACATGGGACTCATAACATAAATAGTGAAAAGTGGGTGTTACATTGTACATTGGCATAATGTGCACTGCCTATCCCTTCGGGGATAAAAGGCACGATGTTATGTTATGTTAATCTATCTATTTCTTTTCCTTCATATAATTCGTCCATCTTCTCTTAAATCGTCCTCTTTTCTTACCATCCATGCACATTCTAAATTCATACAATCAGTATCATTTGGTTTCCCACATATTTCTTCATAATCCTTTCTCATCACATATCTATGCTAAGCGACTTGATCATCTTTTAAATGTTTTAGTACCCAATAGAGCTAATACTGACGATACAATAACATGCATATTCTTTGTCATTCTCAGAAGAAAACTAAAAAAGGCATTACTGTGCATACGTTGACTTGTTAGACATTTATTTTTTATGTAAAATAATCTATTGTGAGGTTTTACGATATTATGCGAAGCGATGACCAATGTTTTGGTGCAAAAATCGCTTGATTATTGCACCTATTCTTGTGGATACAGCGTCATCAAATTCTATAAAGCTGTCAGGTTCCTACAATTCATTTTGAACTTTAGCACAGGATTGTAAAGTTGAGTATCTATTGAAGGTATTTACCAGAATGGGATAGCTTGATGTGCTAGTGTTGTATTCAAGAAATATTTTGTTAAGTTTATTGTGAGAACCTTCGCATTATCGTCCAGTTGGTTGCGTCTTGAATTCTTAATGATTTTGTTTGAAATAAAGATGTTTATTTATTGCGATATTTATGTTATTGTTAAGTATTATTAAGTTATGTTATTGTCAAACGTTTATGCAGATATGTTTTGTGTTTCTAGTAGCGCCACTGAATTAACGATTTTATTAGTTGTTTTTTCTTTAGAATCCGGTTTTACCAAATCAAACATCGTCTTCTCAATCACATAATCAAACCTACCAGTTTAAGAATGGTGCCAAATAAAATTGATTTCTATTATTCACAATCACAGTTACTTACGGTAGAAAATTGCTTGATAGTGACAAGTTAATCAGAAAACATCGAACTTACATTACGGCATACGTGTTGAGGTCAATTCAAAAAATCCCAGTAACAGCATGGGAGTCCAGATTAAACCAATAGTCTTATCCATAGATGCCATGCGGCAGTAGGATAACCTATTCTAATTCATCAAATACATTTTGAACTATATTATTTTGTATCTAAAGTTGAATTTCTATTGAATTTAAGAGTGCAGTGATGAGACGGTATCTTTACATGGAACTAATACAATAAAAAACTATATAAACTTCTCCATTGCATGGAAACTAGGTCTCAGCTATGTCTTCCAGTTAAATCAGTTTCCACCATAGAAGTCATTACTACAGTCTAATGCATACCCACGGCCTCTTGCTTACCATAATTCCATGAAACTTTAACATATTTCCATACATTTACTACTAACTATTGAGACTGGATTATATGCATCAGGGAAGAGCTGCGAAAATAGGCATTTAAAATGTAGGTTGCATAAAGTCGAAATATGAGAAAAAATCTTAAAGTTTGCATCAAAAAACTAAAAAAAAAATACGTTAAATATGTCCCATAAATGTTTGAATTTGGTATATTCTAAGCATTTGTTTAATGCAACAAAAATAGATACTTACAATCAAGGTTTTCGAGAATTCGAGATTTTTAGTTTGTACTATTTAGCACCATTTCTTGAGAAACGTGTTCAAGGTTACAGATGCCAAAATTACAGAATTATAATTATTGTATAATTTTGATGATGACAGGGTATGAAAATTAAAAATCTAATTAGTCCGTCAGTTAGGTAATGAAAAAATATTAGACACGTATTTTTTTATATTGTCGCATAATAAAACAATACTTAGATAAAACTATCCAAATTTAGGAGTGGGGGCTAAAACGTCATTTCTAGGTATAAAATGTACATAGAAGTGACGTCACGCGACATTTCAAATCAACATATCGTCGAAAGTATTCGTTTCTGTAAGAAAATAAAAAATACGTGTGTAATGCTTTAAAATAATCTACCAGACGGACATTAAAATAAAAATTAGGCATCTACCTTATTATGCAAAATATGCAATGGCATATAATCCAGGCTTGACTACTAACAATGAGACTTAAGGCGATTCGGTCAAAGATTTTATGTTTTTGGTCACTTTAGTTCTGAACACGTGTGGCTAGCCCAGGGTGGTCTCAACTCCTACTTTGTACGACAAAAGACTTAGAAAATAGCATCCATCTTTGAAGCTGTAAAATCTTGAAACCATTGCGTTAGTGGAAAGGATATTTATTTCTATGCATTGAAGGGGTCTTTAGAAATTGTTGAATGCATTAATATATACTTTCCTAGTTATAGTAAAGCTGAATTGTATGTTTATAGAAAATGCAAAACATTCTGGTTTAGTGAAAATAGATTTGGGGACAAAAACAAGTTTCTATTTAAAATGTTTTTATGCGACACTTTTTTATTCAAACACAAATTTACTAGCCAATTTCTTCATCTAAGAGAAAAAAAACATTTTTTATGAAACACGTGGGCGAATCAACTGATCAGAATATTTCTCTATCACACATAAACACCAACACAGACATTGAAGCACATAATAAAAATAATAACAATCAAAATAAACATAAGACTTGTAATAAAACCACCATTCTCCACGCCCACGTCGAAATAGATCCTAACAAACAAAATGATACGATCCCCAAATTAATTGTAAACAATAAAAATGCAGTTTGGAAATATATAAAATCACTTGATAACGAAGAAATTAATGAAATGTTAATCTTTATTTGTTAGGATTATAGCCGATGAAGAATAGATTTGATGTCATCAGACGGTACTTTGTCTCGATTTGCATTAGTAAACCGACTACATAATGTATTTTATTGCTCTCTTGTGTGGTCTACCGTGATTGAGTTAGGCGTCTCAACTCACGAAAGAAATAATAAATAATGAGCTTCCCATGAGTTGGTCTTTAAGAATTTCTCTAGACTAGTAGGCGTGTTTACAAACGTCTGCCACATACACAAAAAGCTAGACCCGACCCAAACAAATTTAGTTCGTTTGATAATCAAAGTAGCTGTCTACTACAAGTAGGTATTTGCAAACACGAGGCTGCCTAACAATTATAAATGCGTCATGAATATTAAAGTACCTCGAACATTTTCTCAGTTATTAGCCGGAGCTAATCAACGTCTTCATGCTCACAATACTAATTAAGTTCCAAATTCCGTTTACACCTCAAGTTATTTAACATTTCAAACGAAAATTCCTAACAAGCTTCTCTCTTGTTCGCAGGTTTACGTCACTGAAATAGCAGTCCCCGAAATCAGAGGTTGCCTCAGCTCTGTACTCAAGATATTGAGCCAGATTGGAATCCTGATATCTTTCTCCATCGGCGCTTATTTGAACTGGTACCAACTCGCCCTCATGGTCGCCGCAGCACCTATACTTCTGTTCTTCGCTCTCTTCTTTATTCCTGAAACTCCTTCTTCTCTTCTACTAAGAGGGAGGGAACAGGAAGCAGAAGAGTCTCTTCAGTGGCTTCGAGGACCAGAAGCAGACATACGGCAAGAACTAGCAACAATACGAACAAATATTCTCGCCAGCAAACTATTCAATGATGACAATGCTGGAAAATTCAAAGCGTTGCTTTCGAAAAGAATGACAAGGCCTGTTTTGATAACATGTGGACTGATGTTCTTCCAGAGGTTTACTGGAGCGAACTTGTTCAACTTTTACGCAGTAAAGATGTTTAAGAAAACCTTTAGAACGATGAACCCTCACGGAGGAGCAATAGCAACCAGCGTCGCTCAGCTGTTAGCGTCATGTCTATCAGGAATGTTGATTGACAACGTGGGTCGACTTCCCCTACTGATGATAAGTGGAGTAATGATGTCCATAGCCCTAGCTGGCTTCGGATCATACGCCTATTATGAGGAAGTGTTTAGAAACTCTACAGATTTAATGCAATCAGAACCGACGTACGATTGGATCCCTCTACTATGCGTCTTGACTTTTACAATCGCGTTTTCTTTGGGAATCAGCCCAATCTCTTCTCTGTTAATTGGGGAGCTATTTCCTCTTGAATACAGAAGTACTGGCAGTGCTCTAGCTACAAGCTTCAGTCATCTTTGTGGGTTTGTTAACGTCAAGACAGCTACTGATATCCAAGACTATATAGGTCTTTATGGGCTATTTTGGATGTATGCTGGGATTTCAGTACTATGTCTTCTATTTGTGGTACTTTTCGTTCCAGAAACAAAAGGTCGTGAGATCGATGAAATGGATCCAAAGTACGTGGAGTCTCTGTGTATTAATCGATAGTCTTTGTTGTATTTGATGTTATGGTTTGTTTTGTAGAAGACGGAGGTTGAGTGCATAATAGCATTTGGTAGAGAAATGTTAGTTTTCACTAATGGGACACTGTTTGCTAGTCACAAGAAGTGCAATGGAACTACGTCGGTGTTGAGCAGGTCTCTTAGTGTATCAGAATGCGGTTGATCGCATCAGCGTTCGACTTGAGCACGACTAAAGTCTTCAACCAGTATTAATGTTAGTATTGTCTTCAAGTGCCTTTATCTTAAAAAGTTCCTGTACTGTGACTTGAGAAATTGCATCAGGAACATGTTGTTTGATCAAATATTGTGCTACATTGTTACTTATGGTGCTTTCGTGTTTAGAGAAATAATGTAAATAGCTTGTTTTATATCTAAATCGGAATCATTCGACGCTTTTGTTGAATCGTTTGTTATGACTTGTACCAGATATTTAAATGTATCTCTTGTTTATGAAATATGTTCTGTATTGTTGGAAGTGTCGAAATTATTCTTGTTTAGTACGTTTATTGTCAATGTGCTTCCAAAATCTGATGCAATTTCGAAATTATCTGTTTTCACGTAGGTGGCGTTTTATTGAAATGTCGTGGAGATCTGAATATTCTCAGTTATTTACTGTGTTTATGAAACTAGTGATATTTATTGTAAATATAGTGTAGGTGATATTTTCGGGGCTATGTTGTGAGCAAAACTTTGTACAGGAAAACTTTCTGATGTTCCATTCAGAATATTTACATCTTGGGACAGTTTATTTCTAATGAAATCATGTATTTTGATGTATTCCTGTTTGCTCATAACATAGTCTCTTACAGTAGTGTGATATGAGTATCATAGCATTGGTTGATTTAGATTCTGGACTTCACTGAACCACAGTGCAAACACATAATGCATTTTCCCTCGTTTTATACGCCTATGAATCTAAATTCAACCAATGTCATTATCCTTATTGTATTTGTACGGGTATGGTAAATAATAATGAGCATAAGCTCACAAATTGTATTAAATGAAATAAAATCATACAAATTATACAATACTTTAAAGTATAAATGTATTACAAGTATGTAATATACGTAAAATTTATTTGTTACACTTTTGTGTGAGTACAGTCGTGCATATTATAATAAATAAATAACTATTTATGCATAAATTCTGATAAATAAATATAAAAATAAATGTTTTATAATATAATATTGGTGCTAAAACCGGTGCCTTGCATTTTTAATGTGTTTTTCTTTGGGAATATTTTTTAAATGTAATAAAATATCGATGTTTAGAATATAAATAAATATTGTATATAGAATCAGTATTATTAAGTTTTGTAAATAGTTTATATTTTATAGATATTTATGTAGTAAGTATTTGTGTTATAGTAGAACACGTTGCCATAAAACGAAGCTAATTAAAATTATTGATTTGTACTTAAAAATCGAATTTAAGTGTTTCAATAAAAATCTTTGTGACCCTTATATATGGTTTTATTATACCTACAATACATAAGTACATTTTTACCAGTCAGTATAGCAGACCAGTATGATTACCAAGCTTAAGATTTTGGGTTCGATTCCCATGCCCTTATAAAAGAAATCAACTTCTGACAAGAATAGCAAGAGACCTTAAAGAATTTATAATTATTTTCTAACTAATATCTTATAAGTAAATGACTTCAATTACCGGCATTTTGGGGATTCGGAGTTTGAGGATTGTGGGGGATTGGGGGACTGGGGAAATTGGGGACGAAGGCGAAGGCTTGGGCCTCCGGTAACCTCACTCAAACGACGAAACACAACGCAAACTTCAGGCTGTGGTATCACTCCGGTCGAGCCGGCCTGTTCGTGTCAAATCATAGCTTTCCCACACTTATAATAATTGTTGTACTTACATATATAAATAGCTTCACGCCTGTCTCCCATGAGGCAGAGACTATGGAACACGAATTACTACGATTCATATATACCTCTTTCGCTTCTTCAACAGTTATCAATCTTTTCATGATAATGCATGCTCGTCGGTTAAGGGTACTTTTAATTTGGCTCTTCTTTAATATCGACAATCTGGTCGCTGTAATATCTGTCTAGAGCAATAATTCTAAATACCTAATTTATTTGTGTGATCGTGATAATTATATGAGTAAGGAAACTACTCAACTATCCTGCCAAACCAACAAAAATATAGACTCATCATTGTTACATCCGGAAGCAATTACACATGGCTGCACATCAAGCTATACGAAGCCAGTCATCATGGTCTCTATTTGAATGATCTTTTCATATATTCGAAGGTCAGTTTACATTGGTTTGTCTAGCTTAGTATGTACACACGGCTACACGTCGAGCTTTACAAACCAGTATAAACTGAACGATAAATGTGCGGAAAGATGATGCGACGCGACGCCAGGATAAACTGGTTCTGTATAGATTGATGTGTGGCCGTGTGTACCTACATTACGGTACACCATAGTTGTGACATTGTGTCTACATTATTCAATGATTATGGAGTCATGGTACCGTGGCCATCAATACCATAGGAATTAGTTAATTTGACGTTTTTGTGTGAAATGGAAAGGGGCTTTATCTGTGTCTATGATCCGTATTTAAGTACTTGCCAACTATTCATATTCAATACTTTTTTCGAACTGTCAAAAACGACAGCTTTCTATGAATTTTGTACTTATGAGTTTGTGATCGAATGTCATTGTGATAAAATTACAGGTTGCAACTTTTACAGATTTTAGTTGGTTCGGTTAAAGTGTGCGACAAAAAAGTCCTTGGATGGAGTTTTCTTTCTTTTCAAAAATAAAGGAATGTTTGCTTTGAGTATAATTTTCTATTTAAAGTATTCAGAATACTTCCCTTTCAAGTGGCATTGCAACATTCCACCCTGTATATGTGTCTAGATATAATAAAATAAAAACTTTATTCATAATAACAAAAATGCAAAATACAAAAATATATCTTAAGTACGTACAATTGATCTCACATAGTTAGAGTCTAGTCACATCTACACTTTTTTTTTTAAGGGGGGAAAATCATCGAATGACTGCTCCCGTCTGGGTGAGGCGGAAGGGAGTGTCAGACTCTTACTGACTAAAAACCACCCCGTTCCTTCTCCTGCACGTCGAGCCGGGGCCCCGGTTACCCGTTAGGTTCTCCGCGACAGTCACATCTACACTAGGACAATCCTGTATCGCAGGCGAGAGGAGCTCTAAATATAATTTCTTATAGTAGGACATCTTATATTGTGTTTAACTATAGAATATAAACACAAATACTTATCGTTATTCAATAGAAGACGATATGTTACTATTATTTTAATATATGTACATACTTACATACAAATATACTAAATCCTTATCCTTACTTATAATATAACCCTTATCCTTACTATATAATATTATAAATCTGAAAGTGAGTTTGTTTGTTTGTTTGTTTGTTCCACCTTCACGCCGTAACTACTCAACCGATTGCTTTGAATTTTTGCAGACGTAAAGTTAGAAGTCTGGATTAAATAATAGGGTACTTTTTAACCCGGAAAAAATTGATATTCCCGAGGAAAAACAAAAGTATTGGTATAGATGGCGCTGTGTGTATTGGTATATGTCACATAGGCTACTTTTTATTATTTTGTGACGCGAGCGAAGCCGCGGGTAAAAGCTAGTACTTACATAAAATACAAAATATAACCTTATACCTCACATTCTCAAAATAGGTATAGTATAATAACATTGTATACCTCTGATAACATCTCTATTAATTAAATGGTTTTATATATTTTAGGCATTGCGATTCTTGTATGTTACGGTGAGCGACGCGACGCCTGATAAAATGATCTTAGCAAATGACTTGTAGTAATCTAACGTTAAACGGTAGGGGCTTAGTGAACGACTTAGTAGGCTTCTTTGATTTAAAAACAATCTTAATAGGTATTAGCACAGAGTTTAATATTACGCCTAATATACGGCAATTTACTTTTTAAAAGGGATCTCCGACAGAGAATGCATGAAACACTAATAATAATACAACAAACAGAAATCTTGTGCTTCTCCAGTTATAAGAGATGAAAAGAGGATGTGGTATCGTGCAAACAAATTAAATTCTAATTTTGAATATCAAACTATCGTAAATACCTAGTTAGATTAAAAAACATACATATACACAACATCACGCCTTTTGGAATAAAAGGAAGAATAAAATAAATGTGCAACTGCACATTACGGCATTTAATGCCATTGTATAATATAGCACCCACTGTTCACTATTAATGTTACGAGCCCTATGTAACAGGGTGTGAGCCTATTGCTATATACCGGGCACAATTCCATACTACTGAGATTTTTCTAAAAAAACCCTGTAGTACTTTGCCCAACTCGGGAATCGAACCCGAGGGCACTTGCCCGGCCAATAAGGCAGTAAAAAATAAATATCAAATTAATTTGTACATCTCTGCCTATTACATTAAATACACAAATGACCCACAACACAATCGATGCATTTATGCTAAGAATAAATCGATGATCAATCTCAAGTGCTTAATACTTGAAGCACACTTGAAATCTATCTTTTAAGCGTTTTTGATCTTTTGAAGTATCTACCTAGGTGCTTATAAGTGCTATTTTCGGTTAAGCGATCCATTATGAATTGAACGATAATTTATTAGTGCATGTAGCTATATTTAAGTGGGTAGGCACTTTCTTTTGTTTCATATTAATATCATTCTATGCATCTACATATCGCGAGACGATCTCCGGCCACCGTAAGCACGGGCCTGAGGATGGTGAGCTTGGGTAGCTCGCCACCCGACCAGAACCAGACCCGAGCGTACGGCGCGTCGCGTTCTGCGCGCGCCTTAAAGAGCCATCAGACCACCACGGGTGGGGGGCCCAATAGTGCTGATGCCGATACGGAGTTGCGGAGAACATAACGGGTAACCAGGGCTCCGGCTCGAAGTGCAGGAGAAGGAACGGGGTGGTATTTAGTCAGTAAGAGTCTGACA